AAAACAATGGAAATAGTGAGTGACTTTACTTTGTTGGGCTCCAAAATCACTGCAGATGGTGACTACAGCCACGAAATTAAAAGACACTTACTCCTTGGAAGAAAAGCTATGACCAAGCTAGACAGTATATTAAAAAGCAAAAACATTACTTTGCCAACAAAGGTCCATCTAGTCAAAGCTGTGGTTTTCCCAGTAGTCATGTATGGATGTGAGAGTTGGACTATAAAGAAAGTTGAGCACCGAAGAATTGATGCTTTTAAGCTGTGGTGTTAGAGAAGACTCTTGAGAGTCCCTTGGACTGCAAGGAGATCCAACCAGTCCATCCTAAAGGAGATCAGTCCTTAATAGTCATTTGAAGGACTGATGCTGAAGATGAAACTCCAATACTTTGGCCACCTGGTGCAAAGAACTGACTTATAGGAAAAGACTCTGATGCTGGGAAAGATTGAAGGTGGGAGAAGAAAGGGACAACAGAGGATGAGATGGTTGGATTGTATCACCAACTTGATGGACATGAGTTTGAGTAAGCTCCAGGAGTTGGTGATGGACAGGGAGGCCTGGCATGCTGCAGTCCATGTGGTTGCAAACAGTTGGACATGACTGAGAGACTGAACTGAACTGAAGATTAAGTGAATTAAGATTCAGATCACATAGTGCTTGGGATGACATGAGATATGAATTGCCATGTAAGTGTTGGCTTTGATGATTGGTGGGAAAACGAAGGCCATCACAGGTCATGTGACTAGTGACATCACAGATCAACACTATGTTGCCTTGCAGTGAATTCTTTTAGCAGAAAAATGTTTTTGAATTTTGGTCATGATCTCAACACCTCCGTTCAAGGGCATAAACAACGTGCATGACTCGGGGGCTGGCACTTTGAGCTGGTGTGGTTGATACCTTTTTGAGACTAGACTCCAAAAGAAAGAGGAACAGCTGGAAATACTCAATACAGTCCTTTGAGACAACAAAATAAATGGCCAAACCCAGTTCTGCATCTCTTTATAAAAACCGCCACTAGAGAGAGCTGGCCCCGACACCACGGATTCAAATGCTCATGAAAGTGTCATCAGCAGGTACAACGCAGTTCCCAGATGACAGATGGCGACTGTGATAAGCAGCTTCCCTTCCTCCCTACCTTTCTTCCCTTCTAGGCAGACTGGCCTTGGCTCTCTCTGCAGAGATCCCCAATCCATCACTGCCTGCAAAAGGAGAAGGAACTTGGGACCCGCAGTTGTCCTTAGAGATTATTTTCTTTTGCTAAATGCTCACAATTCAACTGCCCTAATGGTGTAAACTTAATCTCTAATAAGGTAATTTTTAAAAAACTTGCTAACTTTTTTTTTTCATTGCAACTGCAACATATTCCTTTTTAGAGTGTTGGAAAATCAAATAAACAAGAAAAATTTTAACAACAAAGTGTAACCTCTATACACTGCTAGGCTGGGTAGTTACCCAGTCATTCTTCTAACACAGAACTTTTTAGAATCTCCTGGGATAAGAAGGAAAGGGTCCTTCTTCCCACTGCTGCCTTTACCATGCCGTCACTGAAGCAAGTCTCTGGGTCCATTGACTGGTGGGTTGAGGGGAGAGTAAGGTGAGAATACCTACCTGTAGTAAGGTAATAATTGTTGCCATTCCAATTCTCCTCCTTCAGTCTTTCTTCCTACACATAGCTTTACGTAGCTGTAGCTATAGTGTGGATATAACATTTCACTTTGCTTTCTTACTTGAAATTATTAAGTTCATCATAAATATTTTCATTTTGCTGTATAATCTTCGTGGCTGTAAGGTTATTGCTCCACACTATTCTCTCCAGTGGCTTGGGTATGACAGGCAAGACGACGACAGTCTCGCCTGTCGGTCAGTCCTGCTTTGGCCTCTTGCTTCAGCATCAGTATTAAATGAGGTCCCAGTTGGCTCAGACACTTTTGGGAGACCCGGGTTCAATCCCCGGGTAGGGAAGATCTCCTGGAGAAGGAAATGGCAACCCACTCCAGTATGCTTGCCTGGGAAATCCCACGGATGGAGGAACCTGGTGGGCTACAGTCCATAGCGTCACAGAGTTGGACACGACTGAGCAACTTCACCTTCACTTTCACTTAAAAAAAAAAAAGTTGCATTCAGAGAATAAATTATATGATCACTCTAGTAATCTTCCCAACCAGAAATAAAGACCTTACAGACAGCTGCCTGGGATTTCAGTTAAACCATTCCCAAACCACATAGCATGACGCCCCTGCTTCAGGTAAGAAACATTTCTCTGAGGCCTCCTAGTCTGTGGGGATGACAGTCACATCCACAGAGGCCTTCTCACCTCCAGCTCCAGAACAGGACTGATACTCAACCCAAGCAGAAATCCTGTAGTGCAAGGTACTATCTGGGGCAGCTGGTCAACCCCAGCACAGGACTCGGGGTCAGGGTGTAAGTCCCAGCACTGGGCTGAGCTGGGCCAGCTGCTGAGCTTCTTTGAAACAGCTTCTTCATCAGTAAAATGGGTCAGATAAAACTTAAGATGGCTTCTCCAGCCATAAAATGATAAAACATGTAATGCTTGCCTGTCCCCACCAGCATCACCTCCGGATCTTCTAACATTCCATCTTCCCACGGGTTAAATGCACTCAGCATATTTACAGAAAGACCTGTCATCTTCCTACCCCACTTCTCTTTAAAAATCAGAGCTGGATAGAATGGAGGTCACAAAAATTCCCAGGAGACCCAGACAACTACATCGCAGTCAGTTAGAGCCGAGACTTGGTCATCAGCCACTGGTGTTGCCTGGGCAGAAGTTCTGCCCAGTCCCACCCACTGGAAAAACACCCTCCACAGAGACGCACCTTTGTAACTCGTCCTCGATCCAGGGTGCGTGCACTTGCCACAAACCAGCGAGGACGGGCCAGCACCCTGCTCTGCTGGGAGACAACCCCAGAAAAGCAAACCGCAGACCATCCGGTCTGTACTTATTTCCACGGTGGTCTGAAAAGTTATTTTTCACAGTGAAAATTTTTAACAATTTGGACAAAGTGAAAATGGTACAGACATTTAGAAACAACCCTCACGATGACATCAGAATGAACACGCGGGGCGGATGAATTTAGAGGGTCCTCAAGTCAGATGAAAGCCAAACCAGAAACAGCGGCGAAGTCTGGAGTCACCCCTGAGCCATCTAGGTTTTGGGGGCATTCCTCCTACTTTCACAGCTCAGTCGGTAAAGAGACAGTCTGCAGCAATGCAGGAGACCTGGGTTCGATCCCTGGGTCGGGAAGATCCCCTGGAGAAGGAAATGGCAACCCACTCCAGTATCCTTGCCTGGAGAATCCCATGGGCAGAGGAGCCTGGCAGGCTACAGTCTGTGGGGGTCGCAAGAGTTGGGCACGACGGAGCGACTAGGCACACTCACGCCTCCGACACCGCGGCGCTCATCACCGCCCCACCCAGTTCCCCGCTGCGCAGCTGGGCCTCGCACACTAGACCCGGCCCGCGCGGCAGCGCGATCGCTGCAAACATTGCCTCCGCGGCTCCTCTGGTTGGTCCAGCTTCAGGGGCGTTTTGCTTGGAATTTCACCAGATAAAAATACTTTTCAATGGGTGCAAGGCAGAAAGAGAGGGGAGGGGTGAAAGCGTCCAAGTTGAGGAAGGCTTCCCACCCTTTCCGCTGCCGGGCCCGAGATCACTCGTGGGTACCGGAGTCCGGGGCCCGCCCCGAGCACCCGCGGGCGCCATGCGTCGGACTCAAAAGCCAGTGTTCAGAGGTCCCTTCCTTCCCCTTTCGGAACGCAGGGCCCCTCTGGCGCGGCGGGGAGGAGAGGAGTCGGGCCGGGACGCAGGGGTCAACTCATGAAACGGTCATCTTCTAAAGTCCTGACTCGAGGTAGGGGCGGGGGTGAGTGCTATTCTTTAGGGGGTTGCGGCGCGCACGCTTCCCGAGTCCTGCTTCGCAGGCTCTGATTCTTTGATCGGTCTTTGGGAAAGTGCTGGTTCCGCAGACCCGGGTCCCGGATTGACGTGTGGGACCCCAGGCTCCATCTGGAACGAGGGAATCAGTAAACAGGTTGCTTTCCATCCTTTCCCCGACGTCCCCTTCCCCTGGGGATTGTTCGAACCAGGGGAAGCGAGGTCGGAGGTCCCGGGCCGGCGGCCGAGCCTGGATCCCGGGGCACAAGGACTGGGGGCCTCCGAGACCCCGAGTGCGCGCCCACACACGTCCCTTGTCTCCCTACTTCGCTTCCTCTTTCCGCGTCTGCCTGGCTCCGAGCGCGGCGCCCCCGCAGCCCGGTGCCCGGTGTGGCCGGCGCGCGCCGTTGTCTCCCCCCAGCGGCCGTGCGCGTGTCGCTGCCCGAGCCGGGCGGGCGGCTGGGGGGAACGGAGAGGCTCGGCGCAGGCAGGCCCACGGCCCCGCCCCGCGCCCCCCCCCGTCCCCCCGCCCGGGACGGCAGGACCGCCCCCTCCGCGCCGCGCGCCGCTCAGACGGAGCAGCCGCCTCTGCAATGTCAGCAGCCGCAGCGGCAGCGGCGGCGGAGACGCGAGCGGCAGCGGCCGGGGCCCCGCGGTAGCGGCCCGCGCAGCACGGCACGGCCCGGCGGGCGCGCACGGCCCGAGCCCGCGGCCCCCCTCACTGCCTCCGGGGCGCGGTGGCCGGCTCTGCGCGCCCCGGCGCGGCGCTCGGACTCGAAGCCAGCCCCGGCAGCGGCCGCGCACAAAGGACCGCAGACGCCGGGCTCCGGGGACCGGCCGGGGGGACGGACCACCGCGCCGCGCGCCCTCCACGCCTCCGCTTCCCCGGCGGCCGGAGCCCGAGCCCGAGCCGGCCCCGTCATATGACAGCGGCGACCCAGCGGCCGGCGAGAGCGCGTGTTGCCCGCTCGCCTGAGCCACGGCCGCCGGCGCCGGGGGTGGCCCGCGCCGCGCCCCGTTGAGTGGTCGCCGGTCGCCGCCCCGCGCGCCCCTCGGGCTCCGGGCGCAGGAGCCGAGGGGAGCCCCCCACCCGCGCCGAGCCTAAGATGGCCACGCTGCTCCGCAAAATCGGGCTCATCCGCCTGCACAACCGGGACACCGAGGACCCCAAGCACCACCACAACAACCACCGCGCCGGCGGCGGCGGCCCGCAGAGCGCGGCGCTGCGCGGCAAGGGCGGCGCCAAGAGCGGCGGCAAGCCCCCGCAGCCGCCGCACCCGGCCGGGGGCGCGGGCGACGCCAGCCCCGGGCCCGGCAAGGGCAAGGGCAAGCGCGCGGCGGAGCTGGCCCCGCGCGACAAGGCGCCGCCGCCGGCGGCGGGGGCGGCGGGGGCGCCGGGCGCCGGGGGCCCCCGGGAGCGGGCGGCGGGCGCCAGGGCGGGGCCGGGCCCGGCGGCGGCGGCGGCGGCGGCGGCGGGCGGCAGCCTGGTGCCCGCGGCGCGCCAGCAGCACTGCGCGCAGGTGCGCAGCCGGCGCCTCATGAAGGAGCTGCGGGACATCGCGCGCCTCAGCGACCGCTTCATCTCCGTGGAGCTGGTGGACGAGAGCCTGTTCGACTGGAACGTGAAGCTGCACCAGGTGGACAAGGACTCGGTGCTGTGGCAGGACATGAAGGAGACCAACACCGAGTTCATCCTGCTCAACCTCACCTTCCCCGACAACTTCCCCTTCTCGCCGCCCTTCATGCGGGTGCTCAGCCCGCGCCTGGAGAACGGCTACGTGCTGGACGGCGGCGCCATCTGCATGGAGCTGCTCACGCCGCGCGGCTGGTCCAGCGCCTACACGGTGGAGGCCGTCATGCGCCAGTTCGCCGCCAGCCTGGTCAAGGGCCAGGTAAGCGTGCGGGCGGGCGGGCGGCTCGGGGGGCGCGCGGGGCGGGCCCCTCAGGCTCCCGGGGCGCGCGCGGGGCGCCCTCGAAACCTGGCTCCGAAGGGGAGACATCCCCCGGGCGCCTCCGCTCGACTTGCCTGAGCGTTTTCTCCCTGGCCCGCTTCTCCATCCCGTCTCTCCGCGTCCCCGCCTCTCCAGAATTCGGGTTCTCCTTCCGCACACCCTCCTGTCTCTCCTCCTCTGTTCCTTCTCCCATCGTCCCTCTGGCTCTTCCCGTCCACCTCCGGTCCTCGCCTCAAACCGGCTGCCTCCATCCGCTCCTGACTTTTTCCCCCTTGCCCCTCCACCATCTCCGCCTCCTCCCTCCCTCCCTGCCCCCTGAATCCCCATCTCTTCTCCCCTCTTGTCCCATCCCCCCCCCCAGGTCTCCTTCTCCGTGGCCTCCCCATCTCTTGTAGCCATAATCTTCCCGAAGGTGAAACTTTGTATGGACCTCAGAATCTATAAACGTCCAGCCCAGTTTATCGCCCCCTGGCCCGCCACACACAGAGGTTTCCCCCACCCCCACCCCCAGTAGCTCAGGGATGCCCTGCGAGTTGGGTGGGGGCCGGTCTCTGCAGAGGGCCAGCTGCCTGCTGCCAATCCGCTAGCCGGCCCTGCTTCCTGACCGGCATCTAGTGCAAGGTGAAAATTCTGCTCTTGAGAAATTCGACTGGCGAGGCAGAGGTGTGGTGTGAGTTGTTCTGTAAGTGACAAGGCCAGACTCCCTCCAGGAAACGCCTGGGACCTGCCTCTCACCAGGACCATCAGCTCCCCCAGAGATCTAGCGCTGTCAGACCTGTGAACTTGCTTCAGTTTCCTCTTGCCCCCAGGGCTTAAACCCATCATCAGGGTTAAAGATGTTTGACTGCTGAAATCGCGGGCAAGCCTGATGTCTTCTCACCTACTGCCCCAGATGGTAGCTTTACTGCAAAGAACCCCCAGAGAACCTGAGAGCAGAGAATGAATGAACCTTCTGAAATCCCTTCCCCGAGCTGCAGGCAGAGGTGTGGTGGTTTTCTCTTCCCAAGCTATACGCTCTTGATCACGTTCAGGTTGGTTGATGTTTTCCTAAATCGCTATGGAACATTACTTTAAAAAAAAAAAAACATAGTTTTATGTGGGTGTGTTTTAGGTTTATGGAGAATCACTGTTTTGTTTAGGAGACCCCAAATGACCTCGATGTGATCTTTCTACAGACAGCATCTTAGAAGCCATCTGTCCCCTGTCACCTGCCTCTTCAAGATCTTTCACATTAATCAAATAATGCTTGTTCTGCCAATTTCGCTAGAGGTGGAGCCCCTGGGATTCCACGCCAATCGCTTTGGCACTTAATTCTTGACTGAGGTCTGTTTTCACCAAGTAACTATCCTGCTAGTCCAGCTTTCTTGGGGTTTAGCTTCCGCTTGTTTCTCCAGTTCGAAACAGCATGGATGTGGCAGCTTTAGAAAGGCGAGGTTTAACGCTTTAGCATCAGAAATTCACCCTGAAGCTTGTGGTTTAGTGCTGGCTCTGATGTGATGGGAGTCTGTGATGGAATACAAGCCATGGGGGTCAGAGGGGGTCCCGTTTATATCATCAGGATTCATACAAATGATGGGGAAGAATTTTTCACAGAAATGCATCTGTTATTGGTATCAGAAAGCTCCGCTAATCAGAACTCTCTAGAACACTCTCTTAACATCTTTTATCCTTCACAGGGGCAACTCTGGGGACATGGGGCGGAGGAATATCATTTTGCCTTATAATCATAGAATCATATCATTTATATTTGGAAGAGATCCCAGAGGTCACGTGGACCTCAGCCTGCATTTTGAAAGATGCAGGAAAATAAAGATTTCAAATGACAAGTAAGGACTTTTTTTTTCTAAGATCTGTCTTAGTAAGTTGTTAAATAAATATTTGCCATGTTCACATCAATGCTGTGAATGATGGTTCTGTTGGTGCCTGGGCACTTCTATTAAATTTGGCAAGTCCTTGGGTACATATTTATTTTCTCTGTAACCCAAATTGAGAATCTTCATACAGTTGGCAAACTAGAGACCTCATCGTTGCAAGTAATTATCAACATTTTTATTAGTTTCAAAATCTTAGTTGAACTCAGCGCCTTCCCCACCTAGCATATTGTGTTATACTACCTGTTCTAAAGTCTAGTGTGTAAAATATCTGAAAGGAAGAGGAGCACTCAGAAATTTATAAAAATACCAATTCAGTTCCTTTGCACTTTTCCTGCTGACTTCAGCATCCAAAAGAGAGTCGTGTAGGACGCGCACAAACCACTGGAAATGCAGTGTCAGGACCAGAGGGATGGTCGCTCACCAGTGTCTCAGGCTTCTGTGCAGGGCAAGATCCGATCCGGGTAGTGTTTGGGGGCCTGTGTATTAGGTGCCTTTCCTGCTTTTGTAAATTTCCAACCTACAGGTTGTTCATTGCACGTACCTTGGTTACTGAATTATTTCCACAGTTAAAGGTAATAGGCTTTGGAAAACAATCAAAATACCTGATGAGGTTTTCAAAGAGAACCAAAAGTGCTACCAAACCAATAATTACTTTAAAAGGCAGAATGGTTCCATTCCTTCCTCTCCCTGTTGGCACTTTCTTTTTTAGGATGCATTTTTCTTACTTGACAAAGTTAGAAAAGGTTCCTTTTCCTTTCGTAACTGCTAAGATTAACTTTCTGAATTGGGGATACCCTAAAGTCGATTTTGTTTCTCTGCCTGTAGACACATCATAAAATACTTTTAAGGGTCATATTAAGAAGAGATTGGTCATCTTAATTAACTGGTCATACAAAGAAGAGATCTGCTTCACCATTTTGTGTAGAACGCTAAATGTTTGGGTTTATCACGTGGTGTGACAGATCAGTCATTTCACGAGTCATTTCACGAGTCATTTCATGTTACCTAACTCTTGGGGGCCCCATGTTATCAACATCTCTGGTGTGCTGCTTTAGGAATCTTATCTGTTTTTAATTAACTTACCAAATATTTCTTCTGTGTATATTCTGTGTGGAGATGGTGACATACATACCTTGCCTATTTATTACCAAATCCTCTTCTGACTACAAAGAGACATTTTAGGTTACTCTTCGTTTGTGATATTAAATGAAAACTCTCCATGCCTTGGAGGGTCATGCCTAGGCCGTGCCCCGTGTGTACCAGCTCTCACGCCCAGAATAATTGATGATTCTACAGATGCCCTCTACTTGCACTTGTCTGAGCAGAAGGTTCCCCAAAATGAAGGTTCCCCAAAATGACTTGCTGTTGTTGTTCAGTTGCTCTGTTGTGTCTGACTCTTTGTGACCCCATGGCCTGCAGCACACCAGACTTCCCTGTCCTCCACCATCTCCCAGAGCTTACTAAAACTCATGTCCATTGAGTCAATGATGCCAACCAGCCATCTCATCCTCTGTCATCCCTTTCTCCTCCTGCCTCAGTCTTTCCCAGCATCAGGGTCTTTTCAAGCGAGTTGGCTCTTCACATCAAGTGGCCGAAGTATAGGAGCGTCAGTTCAGCAGTGTTGGAGTCAAATTGGCTGGAGGGTGCGTTAAGCTGGGGTTCTGTTTCACATCAGCGCACCTCCTGAGTGGCCCCTTTTTAATCAGTGAGACATCACCTGGGCGGGGGACCAGATGGCGCTTGAAAGAGAGTTTCTTAGTCCTCCTCTGTCCCGTTGGTGCCAACCACGGGACTCAACCCAGTAGGAGGTTGATGCATTCGCAGCAGCGGCAGTTAGCATGTACTGTTTGCTCTGTGCCAAGCTCTGGGCATCTGAGCATTAAGGCGATCAGCTTACCTGGTTCCGCTGCTCACTGTACAGGTGAGGCAACCTCAGCTCCACGCGGTCAGGGGAAGTGAATGCAGCTTCGTGTGCTGATACCAGCAATGACTGCGAGGCTCTGAGCACCAGCCCATGTTGGTGATGGTTGTCCGAGACGACAGAGTCATGCCCAGGCCAGCTAGGATCCTGGTTGTCTCCAGCTGGTGCTTGGAGGTGACCTATGTGGTCACCTTTTGTGTCCACAGAGGACAGGGACACAGCCATCCGTCAGCAGAAGAATGAGAACAGTGAAACACCTTCAGTTCTCAGGGTTTGAACCAGAAATAGGTGAGCGATTCTGGGACAGTTGAGTTTCCTGACAGCAGTCATTTCTGGAATTTTGGAACACAGCAAAGTGGCAGGTGTCCAGACTTGTAAACGTGTGATGAAGAAGGAGCAGGCCCTGCGGATCAGCTTTGTTTGATGATAAAGTGCATCTCGGACGTCGACTTTAGGTCTTCAAGGGTTCTGCATCATGGGTGTTCCTGAGTCTGGCGCACACACACACACACACACACAGAGCCCATCTTCAGGACTTCTTCCAAAGCACTCAGCCTGGAAGTAGCTTTTTACTTGTCACTGCACGATCTCCATGGCCTCTCAGGTGGCTCAGTGGTAAAGAACCCGTCTGCAGCGCAGGAGTCTCGGGTTCAGGCTCTGGGTGGGGAAGATCCCCTGGAGAAGAAATGACAACTCACTCCAGTATCCTTGCCTGGGAAATCCCATGGACAGAGGAGCCTGGCGGGCTCCAGTCCGTGGGGTCACGAATGAGTCAAACACAACTCAGCAACTAGAAGCAAGCAAACACAATCTCAAAAAAGTAACCAAGACCAGACTGGTGGGTTCCTAAAGTGTACTGGCTTCTGAGCTATTGTAATTCACACAACATTTTGAAAGCACTGTGTGGGTTTGCTAAGGCTCTGACCCAAAGTACCGCAGTCTGGGGCGCTCAAACAACAGGCTTTCACTTCTCGCCTTCTGGAGGCCAGAAGTCTGAGAGCACGGTGGCAGCAGGCTTGGCTTCTTCTGAGGTGAGGAGGATGTTCTCAGGCCTTCTGCTTAGCTCATGGACGGCCGTCTGCTCCCTGTGTCCCCGCGTGGCCTTCCTTCTCTCTCTCTGTCCTCACCTCCCCTTCTTGTAAGGA